CCAACCATGCTGCCCAAACTGGTCACCATTCCAGGGAAAACCTAATTCCTAGTTCCCATTTTCCCAGCGAAATATAAAGAAATGAGGAGTGGCTTAACAGTAACGCCCACTCACATCTTGGGCCATTTGACCTCAGGAAATGGCCCAGTGGGCTCACCTGAAACCTTGGCTGATTGTGACCCACACCCGTTGTCACACCTTGGCTCGTGTGATTAGGTAGAGGATCAATAGGGGGTCCATGACCCCCTTGGAGGACACTCCCATGGGGCTTAAAAATCTGGGACTTGCCACCATTTGCTCTTAGACCTGAAGCTTCTCAGATGAAACGTCTTCAAGAAAAAAAGAGTCCAGACGCTTTTCTTTCCAAGCTCCTTAGACTACGATGACCTGGATGACTGAGAACCTTCGCAGACATACGTTTCACACAATACTGTATAACCAAAATACAACCAAAGAGACACAACACAATCAAGTCGTGTCAATATGATTGCATTTATAATGAAGACAGCAATTATTTGTTGCCAATCTATCTGAGACTGATTGCAGTCAGTTCGAGCTGGACTGTGATTGTCTGAAGAAAGCTTATTGCCCTCAACCTGTGAAATTGCTGATTGATTAAAAGTGATCACCCAGAGGTTGAGGCTGCTGCACATTCAACTTCTGGGCATTGCAACTACTTGCAATCAGTTTATAACAACAACAAAAATTCATTGCAATCAACGAGCAACCACCAGATTTTCCAAGCTGTAATGAAGTTGCACCAAGATGAGGTCTGCAAATGACCACATCACATCATTACGTAACAGTTCTAATGTTTTGGTTCTGTTATATAAATAAATATTAATGGAAAAAATACTGCTATAGATTTTAAAACTGAAACACAACCAAAAACTATATAAAAATATAATAAATGTCTGCTGTCTGGCTCTGCCATCAATCTGTGGAGTAATTTTGAAAAAGCTAAAAAAGGCAGCTGTGCTGATGCAGTAACACTGCAGAGGCTCATGAGACTTTCAGCTGTGTGGTTGCAGACGAATCTACTCTTTATTTTTTGCATTTCTTAATTTGCTGCAATCTTTGTGTGAATTAGCAGAGTGACTGTTATGTTCTTGTGGGATTAGTAGAGATGCCGATTGCATTAGCACTCTGGGTTGTACCATTAATGACGCCATGATGCCGCCAAGTCTTGTGGCTTGTGGAAAAAAATAAATAAACAACTTTTAAAACTTATTTTAGGACAAACTCAAAAGTCTTGATGCAGTTTAAAAAATATCAGATTTGAAAAGCAATTCCATACATAAGTTAACCACTAATTTAGACAGAGATATTAAAACGACTGGCCATAGGCCTGTCGAGTGGCAAAACTTCCTTTTAAAACTAAACTGTCAACATTAAAAAATAAATCCTTTGTGTTTAATTAAAGTGTTGTCCTTAAAACACAACTGGAGCTGAAATATCTGCAGCACAATGACTCAAGGCAAAGATTGAGGTCATTCTCATTTGAGAAACATGGAGTACAATTTCCAACCCTCCCTTTTTCTCTAATGTTTTTCATCAATACTGTAAATATGTGTGATTGTCTTACTGTTCCTCTTCTGCAAGTTTGTGATGATGCAAGTGCGCACTCATGGTGCAACCATGAAGGGCTGATCCAAGAGTTTTTCCCACCTACTTTAACACTGGCCTTGATGGAAGTGGAGGTTTGAGTTTTAATGACTTATGACAGAGAAAACACAGCGAGCATGCTTCAGGGAAGTAAGCAAGTTTTCCTTGTTTGCAAGAAAATTCTACTTGCAGGGCTTTTCTCTGAGAAGAGATGTGATGGACTTAAACCCACTCGTAAACACAAGTGTGATCTCAACCTGGTGAAGTCAGATCTATCCTGCTTCACAGTCGGTCAGATGAAGGAGGCAGGCGCAGCAGCTGTGATGTTTACTGTTAATGCATCACACACGCACACAGATTAAGACCCAAACTGTCCTCAAATCCTGTGAGGCGTCCAGATGTTGTTTATGAGCACATTAAATGGTCCAGAGAGCTGCCACAAAACTGAGAAATCACCTCCTGACTCTGACTGTAGGTCTGACAGACGAACAACACATCCACGACATCCACGATCGCATTTTTTAATTAAAGAATAAAAAATAAACACAACTTTTTGACTCCAAACAGGTTAAACAGAGGATTCAAAACCCAGTTTTTCTTGATCCCTTCAATTCAACTCCAAATCTATAATAATGGTCACCTCAAGGTGCTTTGTATTGTAAAATAAAGACACTACAAAAATAGAGAGAAACTCCAACAATCAAACGACTCGATATTAGCACTTGGTGACAGTGGGAAGGAAAAACTCCCATTTAACAGCAAGAAACCCCTTGAAGAGCCACAACAACAGGATTTAAAGTCAACATTAGAAAAACAAGGTTTAGAACAAACAAACAAACAAACAAAAATCTGTTTCAAAAAATGTCCTTGGGGATTATTTCAAATACTCTTATACCAAACACACTACATATTTACAGCCTCGATAAATTCGGTGTAAAGATACTTTTTGATACTTTTGTCACATACTCATCTTCCTCCTCAAACCTTCAAGCTGTCTGCTGGAGTTTCCTTCCTGTTAAAAAGGAGTTTTTCCTTCCCACTGTTGCCAAGCACTTGCTCACAGGGGGAGGGGCATTATTGGGGTTTTCTCTGTATTACTGTAGGGTCTTTACCTTAAAGTATAAAGTGTCTTGGAGCAAATGTTGTGATTTGGTGGTATTTTAC